CAAATGGACCATGCCGGGTCGGGTCAAGTCTTACCAATTAAAGTTATGGACTTAGACATTAATCCAACATAACCATCTCTAATTAATACTCTATTCATACTCAATTACACCAAAGTTTGCTCTCTCTTTCTCTCAAATTCTTGGAATGGGTAAAAGACCATTTTACCCCTCCATGGTCTCCATTACTCATGTTGACCAACCCTAAAGTCAATAGAAGTCAAGCTCGAGTCAACAATCCAAGTTTAACCTGACTCGCCGAGTGCACTCATGTGACTCGTTGAGTCCACTCGTCCCTCAGGAGTCTTTGTGAAGGTCCAGCTCATCGAGTTAACCCCTAACTCGTCGAGCTATAGCATGGCCAGCTCATCGGGACAAACCCTAACTGACTCGTCGAGTCGGATCATCGACTCGGCGAGTCCATTCAGACTCTTTTCTCATTCATACGATTTTAAGGCAGAAAACCTTCCCAAACTCTAGATCTAAACTTTTAAGGCTCGTTAATCACGTAAAGCCACAAGCTTTACGCCCATGCATGACACTTAAGGCTTGAAATGCCAAAAACATACTCTATTGAGGGTTTTTCACTCAAGAGCCTTATTATGGCTAAATAAAGCAAAGACTTTTGGACTTTAAGGACCTCACATTGTCCAGATCTGAAGTCCAAACCTCTATATGAACTCAAAACACTCAAAGTCCTCATATTAGATGGAAAAAGCCCTAAACTCCCAAAATCATGAGATCTATTCAACAAAGTGATAAAGATGTGAGCTTTATACCTTTCCTAGAAGCTCTAAGGTGAAATAACCACGGATCTAACAGCCCCTTCCCGTCCCTTGACTTGGAATCCTTCCCTTCTCTTCAAAAGATGCACCAAAGACTCAAAGTTAGCTCAAAATACTCTCTCTTAGCTCAATGGCCGATTAGGGTTTTCTCTCGGTGAAGGTAACAACTGGTGAGCCGCAAATGAGGCTATAAGTGTCCTTAAATAGGCCCCAAACCCAGGGATTTAGGGTTTCTCTTCACAGTGTCAACTCGGCGAGTCGGCACACTGACTCGTCGAGTCCGCTCATCAAACCCCATGGTCAATCTCGACTCTACTCGACGAGTTGAGACACCAACTCATCGAGTCACTCAATAGATCTCAAAAATAAGCAATTAAAATATTATACCTGAGAGCCCAGACGTTACAAGTTTGAGGTATCAAGTTCTTATCTTGATGACTAGATGTTTAGATCTTTCTAATTGAGTTAATTGTTATGTTTGAGTCATGGGTTGGATGGATGTTGGGATTAGGACGTCCTATAGCCTTCTTCTTCCAGATCTGGAGTTTTCATGGACCCTTTTGGCATAAAGGTGCCAACTTTATGGATTTAAGGACTTCATGCATTCTTAAGTCTCTTATTAAGCCCTTGTTGAGCATTTGAGCCTCTCCTAGTCATGTGTGAGCGTAAAGTTGGAAACTGTACCTAGCCTTCCAGCTCTAGAGTATCAAATCTACAATTTGGTGCTTTGTCTTTGAGTATTAAGTGCTTAATGATTAAGCCCTCACTCTTTTGAGTCAAGGGTTTGGGCTTGGACCCATTTCGGTGCTTCCTAGAGGTAAAGTTGGAAACTTTACCCTTCTAGATCTCATTATTGGTCGAGGCGGCTTCTGGCACTTGTCTGTATCATATGTTAGCTAAGTAGCTGTAGATTGTATGCTAGTTGTCTTTGTGATACTTGCATGAAAGACCAGGAGGTGGCTCCTGACAATTGTCTGTAAGACCCAGGGTTGTGGCCCCCAACCTGGCAAGGAAGACCACAAGGCGGCTCGTGGCATAATGGCAAAACTATGGTTGACACATAACACTCCTATTGATTATGGTTATGTGTGATATGTGAGGCTCATGATTATGTATGTTATGTAAGGCTCGTTTAATATGCCTGGTATATGATATTTTGGGGACTCACTAAGCTTTGTGCTTACAGTTTTGGTTATGGTTTCAGGTATTTCCGATTCGAAAAGGAAAGGCCCGGCTTGATCGCAACGTATCCACCCGTATTTTCCACTGTGTGTGATCTTTGGGAATGAACTCTGATAATTATCTTATTTTTGAAATGCCTTAGAATATTTGGATAAAGTTACAATGATGTTTTGATTATAATAAAAATGAAATTTTTTACCCTTAATTTTTGGGATGTTTTAATATATTTCTCACTTTGTACACATTTAATCGTTAATATTTTTGTACACATTTAGTCCATAATATTTTTTGTTTTTGCAAAATAAGTCATTTTTGTTTTTGTACTCATTAAATACTTATGAATGATTTCTTTAGTTTTTTCTCATGAAATCTTACGTGGTAAATTCATTTTTCTTTTTGTACTCATTAAATACTTATGAATGATTTCTTTAGTTTTTTCTCATGAAATCTTACGTGGTAAATTCATTTTTGTTTTACTTTTCAATAACATAAAATTACATATTTATGTTTCGAAAAAATGTATTTTAAATCTAAAGACATAAAAAAATTATATTTTTACATCTAAAAAAACATAAAAATATGTATTTATATTTCTAAAAATATAAATTAAGTATTTATATTTTTAGAATTTACTTAAACTTCTAAAACTGTAAAAATATTTAAATTAAATTTCTAAAAACGGAAAAAATGTTTTTAAGAGTTTTTCACATTTACAAAAAACATAAATACTTTTTTTTTCTCTGTCTCTTCGGCCCGGAGTTATTTGGATGGTATTATGCTTACTTCGGGAGGACCCACCACCCGGTGGAATAATTGGATTCCGATTAAGATAAACATTCTTATGTGGAGGATTAGGCTTCACAGTATTCCTACTCGGGAGTGTTTATCCCTTAGGGGTATTATGCTGGATTCGATTAACTGTCCCGTTAGTTCTCATAATATGGAGACTATTGACCATATTTTTACAGGATGTGCTGAGTTGATTGTTTTATGGTCTCGTATTGCTATCTGGTGGGGTTTACAGCTTCCCAACCAAATTTCTGTTGAGTCTCTTATTTTGTGGTCGGATGTTATTTCCATGAGACCTGGGCAAAGAAAGGCCTTTGATGCTGTGGTTTCTACTTGCTTTTGGTGTATATGACATTTTAGAAATTCCTTGATTTTTAGAGCAGATACCGCTAGGAAATCTCTACTTTTTGATGATGTTGTTTATAGGTCTTTCTTTTGGATTTATAATAGGTGTTCTAAAGCTAAGATTAGCCGGAGCTCTTGGCTTCATAATCCTATTTCTACTATTATTACTTTGTAATGTTTATTTTCTAGCTTCTTGCTAGTTTAATAAAATCTTGTTGTTAAAAAAAAAGGCAAAAAAACATATAAAGTATTTTAATAAAATAAGTAAATACAATGTTTAATTAAATATTTTTTAGTGTATAAATATCATGAATACATATAATATGAAAAAAAAACATATACCTCTTGTAAAAACCTAAAGAATTACAAATTTAAAGATTTTCTTAGGAATCTTATTTCGTGGTAACCTAAATATCTATGATAACATATCATAAAGAAAATAATAAAACAAAACTAAAATAATTTCCATTTAACACATCTAAAAATTACTTTAAAATAAAATAATAGTATTTCTTTAAGGATTTTTTTAATTACCCTTTTAACAGCTCTTCATACCACTGTGACTGTAAAGTACAAAGAAAGTTAAAACAAAACTTAGACAAAACTTAAAAAATGGTCCCTGTGATTTATATTTATGATACATTATCTCCCGGAGGTGTGAGCAAGATACTGTCGTCTTCTTCCAAAAACACTAAAAAAAAAATATTCATAAACTTAATTTAGATAGAGTAATGGTCCCCTTGTAAGTGAAAGCTCCTCGGTCAACTTGCAAACATAAACAAAAGTCGTTTCCTTTGACCCAAGGTCGACCATCAATTAAATTTCTCCATTAAATAGTCAAATCCGGCAGCACATTCCCACAAAGAAAATCATTTCGTTTTGATTATTCCTCCTTATATTTTAAGCCTTGAAAAACTCTTAACAAAATGCAGAAGTTTCAACTTTTGCATTTGTTCATCTTGATTTCATTAACAACGAAATTAACAGAAGCTCAGAGTTCCATCAAGACTGGATGCAGTCGTAGGTGTGGGAACGTTTGGATTCCATTCCCTTTTGGGATTGGAAGAAACTGTTCTCTAAACAAATGGTACACTGTTGATTGTAACTCCTCGACACCATATCTATCTGCACTCAACCACTTGGAGATACTCCGTGTAGACATATATCAACAAACGGTCACTGTTAATGGCTCCATGAACATTGATCATTGTGAGAATCCGGTCCAAAATAGCAATCTTGTGTTAAGCGGAAGTCCATATCGATTTTCCAGACTTAATAACATATTTGTTGTTGAGGGATGTGGAAATGGCGTCATCATGGACAACGGGAGTATTGTCTCTGGTTGTTCAACGACTTGTCAAGGTGACATTGTTAGTGACAGGAAGAATTGCTTTGGCATCGGTTGTTGCCAATCTATAATTCCTTATGATCTCGAGTCGTTTACCCTGAATCTAATAGGCTTAGAAAGGCGAAGTGGAAATCAATCATGTGTCTCTGCCATGGTGGTGGATTCGGAAACATACTCTAGTGGCGTATTTTATGGCCAATCTGTTCCGATATCACTTAAGTGGATTAGAGAATTCAATCGTAATTCAACAGGATGCATACATTGTGAACATAATGGAGGAGTCTGTGATCCATCTCCTGGCTCGATATCTGGCATGACTTGTCAATTTTATGGAGACAACCCCACACTAGAGGGTACTAATTTTGGTAAGCTATTGTCTCACCCTCAACCTACTGGTCTGCTTTGGACTATTCAATTTTGTTCAATAACTACAAAAAAAAAAAAAAGTTACTTTTGTAAACCAATTTAATTGAAATTTGAAAATTTTTTAACATTAAGATTATTTAAGATTATATGAATAAGACAAAATTCCAAATATTCTCCATGTGTTTAACCGAAAATTCACTTTGGTAAAAAATGAGTTTTTTACATAAAATTTTGAAAAAACTTTTAATGACTATTTTGCCCTTTTTATTCTATTTTCTCATTTTCTTTTAATTACAACAGTTA